CAGCTGGCACAGCCGGGCAGGAGTATGGCCGCACTGGTCGCGTTCCCCTTCTCCTTGAGGGTTTGAGCTTATTTCCTGCATTGAGTGCGCTGGAGTGTTTCCGTTGTGTGGTTTACGCTTTGGAAACGGTCCTGTGGGAGCTCGTTTCCAGTCGGGTGGGTTGGTTGGCTTGTTTTCCAGGTTGCGCTGCTGGACATAGATATCTGTGGGCCATCGATCCCTAAAATGATGGGTCTAGAAGGAGAACAGGCAAGTGAAAGCTCAAACACGTTGCTTAAAGGATTTCTGCTTAATATTTCATTAATGTTTTAAGGGTTTGTAGACTTAAAAGTTTCTAAAAGGATAGCTTATTGGGAAACTTGTGCAGTAATAGGTGGGGAAATAAAGAGGGTGAGATGGAGAAGCTCAGCATGATTTAGTTTGTAAAAGTGCTGTCTGCTTTCAGGATGACCAGTTCTGCAAGCCAACATTTTGCTGCATGTCAGCCAAGTATTCATGACCACTTAAAACTTAAGTAATTTTAGCATGATGCTCTTTATCAGCCCTAGAATGTTTTGTATAAATATGCAAAGTTATGGGTAAATTTCTTGCAAAAGGGCGGAACGGTCATTATTCAGTTATTGTATTTATTATTAACATTATTCAGTTATTCTTTAGTTATTGCTATATGGCAATCTGGCCCTCTTGCAGTGTTTAACTCAGCCGCTGCAATGAAGTGGTGTTGTACCACTTTACAGTTGTAGAGGATCCCTGTTTACTCAGGTTTAACCTGACTTACGTTCATGTTTTACATAACATCTGTATTTATTTCTAATGTAACTTTATGCATCACTTCCATTTTCAGGTTCATCAGAGCGGATCTGGATGGTCTCCAGTGGTGAGCAGGTGTTAACTGTTTCAGAAAGTTTGCTGGGTTTCTTTGGGTTGGGCACTGTCTTCTAAGGTGAAAAACGCATGAGGGAGGAGCAGGGGCTCCTTCCATTAATTCATTTTCTAATGACTTAAATATCTTGAAATCTGGATATGAAGTGTGAAATTTCTTTTGTTAATCGTAATAATGCTACATTTTTAAAATAGTTTCATTATTTTAAGTATCTCTTCTTTACTGACTTTCCTGCTATACTATAGGCAATAAATACAAGTTATTTGACTTCATTGTGATACACAAAAAGTATCTTTCACCTAAGAAGAAACTCGTGAAGCTTTAGGAAGAGCAGGGGAAGTTTTGCAGGAGTGTTTGTTGTCTAAAGATCACCTTCAGTGTGTACACTGTTAAAAAGACAACCTGATGCTGAGAGGGAAAGCTGCTTTTATCCTTCGCTGTCTCCAGTGATTCCATAAACCACTATAAATCTCAGTACAACTGGATTCTTTTCAGTCTGTGAATGTAGTTGGTGAGCGTTGCACAAAAATTGTAGTTTTTAATGCCCTTTGATAAAAGAGAAACGTTAAGGTTCTCTGCCTTTATTTTCTTAATGTCTTCCTTTTCAACCCCAAACTGCTTTTTCCATAAAATCTACTCTTTATTTTTGTGTACCCTCTACCGAGTTTCTCTATTTCTCTTTTAGTATGTTGAAGAAAACTTAGGTGTCATGTCTGTCGGGTTCTTGCTTAGTAGTCCTGATGATGCCGTCATCTGGAGGGGACCAAAAAAAAATGGTACGTATCAAGTGTTTTCCACAATAATTTATGTACTTGAAAGATTTAATATTGTGAGTTTAATTAATAACATGAATATAGCATAATAGGCTATAGGAAAAAAAGTGTGAACAGTTACTTTGTTTAGCTGAATGTTTTCGTTTGATGAAGTTAGAAGGTCAAATGTTAGGTTTTTTTAGAGCTTTGGCAAAATAAGCATTTTTGTACTTCAGTTGACAAGTCAGAAGAATTTGCATACCTAGACTATAAAATTTGAAGTAGACTCTAAAATTTGAAATTTAGGGAGGTATTTTTTTCTCTCTTCCACATTCTTATCCTTTCTTTTTAGGGCTGATCAAACAATTTCTTCGTGATGTGGACTGGGGTGAAATCGACTACCTGATTGTAGATACACCTCCAGGAACATCAGATGAGCACTTGTCTATTGTGCAGTATCTCAGCGCAGCACACATAGACGGTGCTGTTATAGTCACTACCCCTCAGGTAGGAGAACTGGATTTCCATTGATAGAACCATCATGGCAGTTAAAGCCAATCCTTGGTTTAGAGTCTCTGTTTAACTTCAGGAAATGATGGTACAGAACCTGAGGGAGTCGACTTGCTTGTTTTGTGCCTACAGCTGGCTGGTTTGTGAGGTAGATGGGGGTCTCGGGTACAGCAGTTCCGAGTGGGTCACTAAACCACTGAGCAGTGCACAGTCGAAAGCTGTCCTGGTCTGTGTGGTGAAGGGAAATGCAGGATTTCACTTCCTTCTTTGAGATTAGAGTTCACATCATTGGAAATTTGTAATTTACTCACCAGCAGCTTCATGTTCAAAAGGCCGTAAGAAGCTTCGTTTTTTAAGTGAGAAGATGCAACTGTTTAACAGGGCTGCTGCGTAAGCAGCCTGTTGCCTCCAGTAGGCAACTTTGTGATGCGTGTTATTTAAAGAAAAGCCAGCTGCTGGAGAGCTGAAACTCATTAGAGTTCACATCATTGGAAATTTGTAATTTACTCACCAGCAGCTTCATGTTCAAAAGGCCGTAAGAAGCTTCGTTTTTTAAGTGAGAAGATGCAACTGTTTAACAGGGCTGCTGCGTAAGCAGCCTGTTGCCTCCAGTAGGCAACTTTGTGATGCGTGTTCTTTAAAGAAAAACCAGCTGCTGGAGAGCTGAAACTCAAAATACATCAAATTCAAACGAAGGTTTTAAAGTCTGCTTTGGAAAGTAAGAGCAGATCAAACTAGCAAAAGACACCCAGTATTTCCACAACAGTGAAAGAATAAGATTTAAAGGAGGTGAAGTGGTGAGGGCGATATCAGACAGATGGTGAGGGAAGGAGAAGGGAACGGGAGAACTGAATGAGGTCAGGCATATATGTGAAAAGGCTGAGGGGATGCTAAGCTGTTTGAAATTCAATCTGAAAAGAGAGAACAAACGTAAGCCTGGTGGTTCTTGTCCTTGCCTGCTCTATTGAGAAAGCCAAGGGCCTTTCTGTGAACTGAAAATGTGAAAAAGTTACATTTAAAGAACTGAAAATACGAGATTAATGCAGGAGATAAAACATAAATATGGCTGAATCTTTAGTACAGTCAAGTCAGGTTTCAAAGCAGATCTACATTCTGTAGGCCAGAACTGTTGTACCTGTTCTGTTGCTACTCAGAATCATTGCTAGAGCATATAACACAGGTTTATGTTCCTCAAAACGTGAAGAGAGCAGTAATAATTCATTGTGAACTTTCTTTAAAATAGCTCTCAGGATGTAACTTAGTGGATTCAGCATCAAAACCTTACAGTCAAAATAGCCGTGTTTCCTGATATCCGTAGGAAGTATCGCTTCAGGACGTTAGGAAGGAGATCAACTTCTGCCATAAAGTGAAACTGCCCATCATAGGTGTTGTGGAAAACATGAGTGGCTTTGTGTGTCCAAAGTGTAAGGTAAGGCTATCTGTATATGACAGCATTTTTTTATCCTGACATTGTTTGTGGACAAAACATTGCTCCAAAAGTGCTTTGTCCTTAGAATTGCGATGTTTTAAGTCTAATTTTCATGCTGTCCCAGAATGAATCTCAGATCTTTCCCCCGACTACTGGAGGTGCAGAGAAGATGTGCCAGAACTTAAATGTTTCCCTCCTGGGTAAAGTGCCTCTGGATCCTCAAATAGGTAAAGTTACTGTGTTGTGCTATGTTTAAAACAACTTTTTCCTCCTGTACTGATGTTATTACTAGAAAACCCTGACTTGGACATTGAAAAATTAGAACAGTAAGCATTTTGTCTCTTAGGTACATACTCACTTTTAGATAGAACGCTTTTTTGAATCAAAAGTTACTGGAACTGTGACACAGCATGGTGTGAGAAGAGGAAAGTGCTAGGATAATTTCCTTAGCTGGAAACATAATTTTGATTAAGATAACATTATGCATCTTTTCAGCTGTATAATCGTTTTTGAAGTACAGCGTGTCTTTCTCTTTGGTGTAATCACCTGGAAGTGCAGATTGAATAAAATCATAACCACTACGAAGAACAGTATCTTGTAGGTGGTAAGCATTAAAACTTGTGCTTTAACTTCACTGTTACTGTCATTACCCAAATTCTCTTGTGGTTAGTGAGAAGGCTTGGTTCCTTGCCTCCTATTAGCAATTAATACTCGATTTAATGACATCAAGGAACATTGAATTGGTCAGTACTACCAAAATAATGACTGAAGGCATCTGCTAACAGTATTCTTTTGCAAGCTGTAGTTCTAGTTACATTACTGACATAAGAACTTCTTAATAGGAATAGATGCAGGTGGGTCTTTAAAGGGTAAAACTGGTACCAAAATAAAGAGTAAAAGAAAAGCTCATCTTTTGCCTATTGCTTTGCTCTCATGTTTTTCCCTGTCCTTCAAGGGAAAAGTTGTGACAAAGGCCAGTCTTTCTTGTCTGAAGCACCTGAGTCTCCAGCTACATCGTCTTACAGGAATATCATTCGAAGTAAGTCTGACAATCACTATGCAAATGAATCCTCTGTTTCAAGCACTTCTGCAATATATAAAGTTGCTGAACAGAATTACGTTCTTTTGCCACAAATAATAAAAAACAGTAGATGTGTATAGCAACCGTGAAAGTAACAGATGCAAATACTATGTTTGCTTCTTACGGGCATCTCTTACCACAGGCTTTTAAAGCAGTCATGAAATTTCTAGTTTCAATGTTTGGCTTCAGTTGTCAATTTTCAGAAAAGATGTGTGTGTACTTGCTCTCACAGAAAAGTTCTGAGACTGTCAGGCAGGCCTGTTGAGGAGTGCTCGCCATAGCTGAGTATGACACAGCTGGCTCATTGTTGCCTCCACTTCTAATTGTAATTGCACAAAAAAAAAATAAAAACTACCTAAAGAGCCAGTGATGTGCAGTTTAAAAATATGAACAGCTGGGAAATTCCTAAAGCCATTTTCACCATGATAAAGGCCCAACTTGTGATCTTTGTACCAGCAGGAGACAGAACGATGCTGCAATAACTAACTCCTGATGTGCAACTGAAATTCTATTTAAATTACTTTTTTTCCCTGTCTTTGCAGGAATTCAGGAGTACTGTGATCAACACCATTTTCAAGAAGAAAAGATTATCTAATGTGTGAATGGAATAAAAATGTAGTTCATGTTTAATTATAGAAAATTAACTTATGCCTTGATTTAATAGAAGGAATGTATTCTTTTTGTATATTGCAAATAAATTCTTAATATAAATGTTCTTGCCTTAGGTTTTTCCATAGTTTAAGATTGCTGTCATTCCCAGGTGGTCTCAGAGCTTTCTAGAAAGCTATAAAACTGCGTCTTTATCTGTGTTACATCGACACAATCTGCATGCGCCGTCGTGATGCTCGTAACCTAAATACAGAGTTGGTGTTCGAGGACATGTGACTACGAGATTTTATTTAGGAATTTGAATACAAAATATGCTTCCTGACATTGGGGCACTGTATCTAACGTATCTACTGTGGACACACAGTAGGTTTTGTCCTGCCTTCTGCATTAGGATGAAGTGTAATGCCTGCTTTCTCTCTTACTGAGTAACGTCATCTAAGTATCTTTCTTTTCAGTGAAAAAAAAAATTTATATAGAGTGAAATTCAGTGTAGTGTTGTCTCCTTTTTTATAATTGGCCTCAGTTTTTAAATAAAACCTAAACTAGAGTTTAGGCAAGTTAATTATAGTACAAGTACAGTATTTTATTTATTACAATTATCAGATAAAATTAACATCTTAACTATTTATACATAACTGGCTGCTTCACACAAGTACAGTGTGAAAATGCTACATGACTTTTGTTCTTTCTGCTACTTGACCTTAATCCTGAACACTAAAAAAGTGATCGCGATTCCTCCCTCTTTACTGAAGAATCGAAGCTTTGAGAAATCAGTGTTGTGCACAAGAAGGAAAGGCAGTTTTGTTTTGTTTATTGTAGCTCCAAAATTAAACAAATGAGCATCGTCTTTTGATTACATTCTAATTCTTGGTTAAGATAATCCAACAGTTTCAGGTTAGGTGACAGATTTTTTTTTTTCTTAAAGACGTGTGCTCTATATGAACCATAAGCATTGGCTTTGTGCCTATACAAGCTCTTTTTGATGAAACATTTAAGTAACAAAGGCTCTAAACCTTTCAGACTCCAAAGACACAAATGACAAAAAATCCTTATTATTTAATGCAGGCATAATTTCTAGAAGAGCTTTACTTAAATACCTTCATTGAAAGAAGAGTTTTCATAAATGAGTATTTTTACTGCTTATCTTTTTAGTTCTTCCTTGTTTGATTACCTAGTGCCTGTCTTCCCGTGTTCTTCAGTGCGGTCTTCTGAAATTCTCTGTGTCTGTCCTGTAGAATGAACACAGGAAGCGTGGGTGTTCACATAGCTTAGTACATAGGAATTGTACAAAAAGCAGAGAAGAGCCTGGTGGAAGCCTGAGGGGTGAAGATGGCTCTCCCAGCTGTTCCCAGGCAGAGGCATTATGATACCCCAGGTGTCCCTCTGAGGATTTAACTTAGAGGATGCTCTTCACTGAGCTCAGAAGCAGATCAGTTGTGAAGCTTCAGCAGGCTTCCAAACACAGAGCAAAGTGACATGGGGTATGGCCCCTCTGAGCGAGTTCCATCAGCGAGGCCCAGTGGAGAATCAAGATGGCCCTGCTGGGAGTGATTTTTAGGAACTAAGACCTGGGAAGAGGCAAAACCAGCAGCATAAGGCAGGTCAGTATGTGATACTTGATGAGCTGTAGCTGACAGACCAACACAGTACTTACTCTTAGGAACATCTGCTGTGACAAAAAACCTTGAAGTCACTCTGCTGATGCTTTTTTGTCCCCCTAATTTGCAGTGGATGTAGCCATATAAATTGGCAGTCTGAAGGGAGATCCCAGCTATCACAAGAGCCTGTGGACAAACAGAAGTTCAGCTGGGACAAATGCACTGCTATGTATAGACGGTACGTGCAGAATATATATGCACATGTGTGTATATATATTTCATATACAAAAAAACCTTAACATGATGCAATATGTGGGGTAAATTTCCACTTGTATTTAGAAAAATGTGTAATTTATTTTTTTTTAGACTAGATGGCTTATAAATACAGTAATTTTAAAATACATACTTACAGATCAATTTATCAAGGTTTTAAGCACTATGATACTGGTTCTTTCAAAAGGGAATGGTACCAGAGATCTAAAATCCTTACTTTAAAGAGCAAGTAACATTCAAGTCCCAAGGAGATGTGAAAACCAGCATCACTGGTTTATTAGTTTCCTTTAACTGAAATAAGCTGGGGAAAATCAAGTTGCTACAGTTAAAAAGAAGTCTGTAATTTTGCCAACCACTTGAGCTTCTAAAGTTAGACGAAGGAGTTGACATCCAATGACCTAGTAGAAGTGGCGCTAAAAATTACTAATCCATTCCAGAGTGCAAGGCTTGACTGTAGAAAACTCTGATTTTTTGAATTTATTAGTGGAATTTTTTGTATAATTGGAAGATTTAGTTCCAAGACTGTTGCAAAACTAACAGATCTGGGTTTTCCCTCTACTAACATTGTCAGCTGTAGGTCTTTCAGTACCCTCAGACTTACCAGCCATTTCAGCTTCAAGGAGAACAAGGTGCTAAAGAAAAACACCGTCCAAATAACTGGACAGATAATGAGACCAAGCCAAAAGATTCGAGCTTCAGCTTCAGTTGAGGCAGCTATTGTAGGCACCTAGAAGGAAAATCATTGAAACTACTAGTCAGAAGGACAAAATCCACAGTAAATAAATCAGCAGA